TTCCCATGATGCGCATACTTAGCCACAATCTGCAACCACCAAAGCAACCAAAACGTTCGGGAATGCATGGCATTGACCAAACTAAGGCGGGCGTCATGGCCTCAAATTCGGCCAAGCCTTTATTCAGCAGCACTGCATTCATGGCAGCGCAAAACAGCATACCTGCCATCGGGCTGGCATCAAGCACCCACGAAGCACCCTGAAGTGACCAATCCTGAGCCTTCCTCCCACCCAGCTACTCTTAGTCTCCGCGTGTGGGAGGTCTCTGTGCGGCCTCCGAGGATGAAGTAAGCCAGCGGATCATACCACATGTCCCAGTTGCCCTCGCCGAGTGTCACACACACACACACACGCGACACACACGACAGGCCAGACACGTGTCAAATGCTGGCCTCATCAAAGGAAGTATGCAAGACTGTGGCAGTGGAGGACATGAAATACCTCTGACCGGCCTGCAGCGCCCGTCGGGTGACGCTAACGTTTTCCTCCCTGCGTGTATCCGGCCGAGTGGCGAGGAAGCCTCCCGCCATTGCCAGGAGCAAACCCCGCCGGGCCGGCGGCCGCGCGCCTTGGCTCAGCCGTGTCCGCGGGCCGCCCCTTCCCCAGAAACTGGTGCAACCCAGATTCCATTCTTTGGTGGCATAGTGAGGCATGCGAAAAAAGACAGGGAGATACAGACCTGCACCACTGGCAGGCAATCCTGCGAAGCAACCTGTGCACATAGCAAAAACCCAAGGTCCCGACGAGGATCCACCTCACGCACGGAAGGGCGTTATGCACTTTGTAGGGCTACACCGGACGGAAATTCAGCACAGCTGCCCTAGAAAAGATCGGCTCACAAACTTCTCCCGAAGATCCTCCATGGTCTCCTTGCATTTGCGAGGGTCGATTGGGCAATCACCCTCGGCCAGGATCTGCCAAGCTTCTGGTGGCTTGCTGTGAGGACCGAAGATTGGCGCTGACACGGCGCCGGCGAACACGAATCCTGTTGGGGTTCGGCGGCACAGGCATGCTTGCAGCTCGATGCAGCCCGATGCTTTGCCCGGCCGCCCGGCCTGAGCCCAGCAATTTGCTGCTCGTGAGGCTCTCACCCAGGGTGTAGGGAGCCAACCTCAACTCCAAAAGCGCCAAAACTCTTCAATCCTCAGCTTTTCTCCCTACGACCCCAGGCCCGCATGTAGAATGAGTCCTCGGCAAGATGTTCCAAATTACATCGAAGCCATCAAGCGGGGCCAACAGCGACCTCCGCGCAGAAGTCGGTCACACTAAGCACGACTACAAATCCCTCAGCCACTCATTTCGCAACCGAGTGGCTGCGGCGCGAAAGCGTAGGCCGAGACCTCGCAGAGGGGCCCCACTGCCATCGCCATGCTCAAGCCAAGGAGTTTGAACCTGAGGCCATGAAAAGAGAGAGCAGAAGAGTCGAAAGGGGGAACGCTTCTTACCGAAGGCCTCCACTTTCTCCGGGACTCCATGATTGCCGCATAGCGCAGCAGCTGAAGTCCGAAGATGATGATGAAGGTTTTGAACAGTATCAGGGCCACGCCTTGGTTGCAAAACACTTTCCTTCACCGCCTCGATCTCCATGCCCCTGCGATAACAAAACCGTACTATCAAGCCAAGGTCTTCATTTCATCAAGGCTTACGCAACTTATGCCCATGGACAGCATGACAAACATGACAACAGCCCGGGACCAAGCATGACCACGTCAGGATGCCGATGACGGGCATCAACGCCGGACCCCAGTTCCACCATTTCCTTGCAACGATTTCCGGTGACCTTTTGCTGACCTGTTGGCCGGCGAAGAACCGGGCCTTCCCAGCGTGATCGCCGGCAGCGCCTGCCGCGACGGCATCGGCGGCTGACAGGGGAAAGCTGGAGCAGCTTTCGGAGCCCGCTGTTAGTCGCAATCAGTCTGCTTAGACAAGTAGATTCTTGTTGGGTCTCCAGTCTGACTGGAGCACCGGCCTCCACCTTTGCTGTTCTGCACATGCTGGATGACGGCGAGTATGCAGACTGTCATTTTCCAGATCATGACAACGAGTAAATGCTGGCCAAGAGAGGGCGGTGTCTTCGAGTGGTGGTGCACATCATGAGTTTGAGCAGCACTGCGAAGACAGAGAAGAATGGCTGATTGTCATTTCTTCCTAGCAACTAAGTTGGGTGGCATGGGCATTGGCTGCACAGTTTTCGTCCTCTGCGCAGTCAGCCAAGGCATGCTACGGACAGAGCCCGAAGCAAGCCTATCTGCCCAGATTCGGTTTCAGGACAGACAAACCTCCTGCTGGATATTGAATTGAAGTCTCCTGTTATGTCTCTGGCTCCAGTTGTACGAAAGCAGGTGGGGCTCAGATTCGTCGATTCGGGCAGCTTGCGAAACGTTCCCCAGGAGACTTTTTAAAAGGCACACACATGGGTGCATATGATGCCAGAAAAAGATTGTCAGAGCTGTTCCTCAGGAACAACAGATTGATGCGCTAGGCCAGGGGCATGCAATGCATTGCCTGTGGCGGGGCGCGTGTGTCACAAGCTACAAGCTGGTTAGTCTACCGATCTGTGAGAAACCAAGCAAACATCTTCTGCCGCTCTCGCGTCTTTCGCGGCTGAGCACTAGCAGTGAAGGCCGGGTCAATGTATCCATTTCTGGAAGGACGGCTAGTGAGCTCTGCTTGCTTGTATGGACATTCAGTTCAGCTCGCGTTTAGCACGTTCGATATGGAACATGTCACGTCCCACGTCACGACACTCGGCCCCGCAGCTAGACCTGTAATAAATACATATTGGCAAGTCCACAGGGAGTGCCACTAACAGATGGGCTGGGCACCAGCCGAAGCAGGGGATAACCTACCTCCTAACTCCGCAGCCATACCAGTCCACGAACGCGGTGAAACTAGCATCGTCACATCGTCCCCGACTTTCCTCGACGGATCGGCATCCTCGGGCTGGCAGCAAAGACAGCAAAGCTGCAGTGAACGATATATAATAGACTCAACCGGGGCCAACATCTGTTGCACACATATCGTAACATGGTTTAATCATGTTGGCATGTCTTTTTTCTCCGGATGAGAACGGAACCGCAATCAAATATCTTTGAGGCTCAGGCGTGGTCTTTCCTTACATATCTATACAAAAGCCTTGACTCGCAACTCAAGCGGTGGTGGCAATGAACATATTCGCAGATGCCCATGATTTTCAGAAAACCACGAAATATGGGCCTGCGTCGTTGGGTCTTGCCTGATTTGCGCAGAGCTGAAGCAAGAAGCCAAAACCATGGGGGCAAAGCCGAAGCAAGAAGCCAAGAAAATTGGAGGGGACGGGAACAAACCTTGGCAAGTCTTGGCCCCGTAGAGGAGAATGCCCCGTGGCAGGTCAAAGCCTCAGCCTGTGCGCGTGCAAGGGCGCGGCGCCGTCAGCTTCGGTAAGTATTAGGTTGCATGTCAGCCTTGAGGAAGTATTAAGTTGTATGTTAGTTCTCGATTCTACGTATTAATTCACAATTTTTATTGCTTTGTGTTCTCATGCGCCAGTGGAAAACACTATCATCGTACAGATAAGGGAAAGTACTAACTACAGAAGTTGACTCTGGAATGGTGAGAGTGGGAGAAAAGCAGAACTGCAAACATGATAACATGATGCATCATCTTTAGCAACCCTTGCTGAAGCAACCCCCTTTTGCCAGGACGGTTATGGCGCACGTCATAAGTGCTGAGAATGTGGCCAATGAGCTTCGGACAGATGCAAAGGCATCTGCAACGCTTCGCGGAGGATGGGAACCAAATACAATACCTGTTTCTGTCACTCCCAAGACGACCAGGACGACTAAGCCCGGAAGTTCAACACACCAAGAGCATCGACACCGCAATGGCGAAGAAGCAGTTGGAGATGGAGATTGAAAGAGTGCAACTGATTAGCACGTCTCCGAGCATTATCCGAAGAAAAGAAGAATATGAAAATGGCCAGGGAACATCACCGTAATCACAATCGATCCCGCTAGTGGTAGAGCTACTGGGTTAGTCACATAAGTTTCACCGTTCGAGAGTCCAACACTGCTGAAAATGTCGAAAAATTGCAGATTCTGGGGGGACCAAACTGTTTAAGATTAAACCTCAGAGAGAAGACTTCGAGATCCCTGATCCTGAAACCACTATGACTTTCGAACCCAGGCTCAGATCCTGCGTACCATGACGACTAGTACTCCTATTCTCCTGCCACCATTAGCTCTAGTGTTACTGCTCGTACCGAAACAATTCTATCGTTGCCACCCCTCTCCAACCCCTGATCATGGCCAACATCAACAAAGAGGAAGAGGAGCCGGGTATGAATGGGACTTCAACAGCTAAACTGCCAACTAGCAGCGGCTAGCCACACGTAGCGAAGTCAGCATCCCACTTGCTGCCGTCGTCCTGGGAAACGAGATCGAGCCGTCAACCCCTCCGCACTGCCTACAAGAGATGCCATCGCCTGCAGCACATCTTTTTGTACACTGCGCTGCATGAAACCTAAATCAATCCAAGTCGATTCTAAGCGTCCTCGTAGGGAACGATGGGCGGCATCTCTTTCGCTTGAGAAAAGTTCGAGTAGTCCTTGGGCGCATTGCATGCGCAGCTGCGCACTTCACAGGGCGAACCTGAGAGCTGCACTCGCTTGTTTTTGACGACGGGCCGATAAGGCGGCTGCATCCTCGGAGCTTCAGGCAAAGAGCGACATCAACTGCTCTGCACCCCTCTGACGGCTGCGAAACGCTGTTTTCTCGCAGCCACTCCCTTCGCGGCATACCCAGGTCCTCAGCCCAGGCTGTTTAAACACCGCAGATGCTGTCATGTTCTGTACAGACAACGTGACTCGTTCAGGGGTGATACATGTTCGATCTCGACGGCTTTGGCATAGATCGCCGGCTCAATCCCGAAAAGTTCCGCTTCTGCGGCTTGCATCCAAAGCGATCTGGTTGAAATCTACAGACTTAGGAAGATCTACCCGGAGTCGAAGTTCTAATTCCCAGTTATCCCAAAACCGTCTTTCCACGAATGTTTTTTCCAGCATATTGAGCACCTTTCTTTCTCTCCAGGGCCTGTGGAGCGATGGTGCCACCTTTCGCCTGGGCTGCGCGTGCAGATGAAGCAGCACCGTTACGAAGGAATTGACGCAGGATTCGCTCCGACCCGTGCACAGCAGGTGTCACGACGCCCAGCACACGCAAGCGCTTGTGCTTCAACTTTTTCAGAACATGTCAACACGAACAAAACGACCGGAAAAGACACTGAGCATGTGACGAGTTGCATCGCCTAAGGCCCAAGCCAAAGCCTGCCCAATTTGCGAAAACACCTCTATCCGCAACATAAAGTAACCTCAATAGACTGCATCTTTCTGCCGGGACACCATCTGCTTTTGCAGATGGCGGATCTTGCGCTTGGTCATCTTCCGCTCGTTGCCGGCCTGCCAGGCGGATCGGCGTAAGGCAAGCTGCACGGGGAGCGATCAAAGGCAAAGCTCTGCGGCAACGTCCAACGTCCGCATCAGAGATCCGTGGCTTCCAGACCTCCAGGAATGCGTCGAGGTCGCTGAAATCTGATTTGGAGTCCTTGGAAAACTGCCGGATGATCCAGAAGTCATAGTGCATGGCATGGCTCTGAACCCCTCCCCTGTCCGACTGTCCGAGTAAACAGAACTCCCAACGGTCCTCTTCCTCGAGAATGTGACTCTGCGGACCGACACTGCCTTGGAGGGCGTGTGCTCCACTGGTCTCTGCTGCATTCACCTCATGCCTCCGAGCGGCGACCTACTCGGACGCTCTGTCAATTGCCGACCGCACTTCTGTCTCTAGGCTCTGTACGGGTCTATGAGTCTATGATCTATGGTTTGGGTGCTGACCAGATGCCACCTGTCCCGGAAATCACGTGACGTGTCCGGGCTCCACTGTGCCGCCAGTCACAGGGATTGCACTCGGATCGGTGTTGCGTCTTCAAATTCCAGTGTGGAAGGTATGGACATGTATGCACGTTACGTGTATGTGAACGTACAATAGCAACAACAAAGAAACAATCAAACAAGACAAAACAAGAAGCAAACACAACAAAAGAAACAAGAGAAACAACACGAACAAAACAAACAAACAACCGACCGATCAACCAACCAACCAACCGACCACTCAGCCAGCCAGAGCCAACCAACCCGCCGGCCAAACCAACATGCTTACCTACCTAAATGCATGCATCCACGCACCCGCACACGCATGCATGCACTCATGCATACGCACGAACATGCACACATGCATACCTTGCATACATGCATGCACACATACATGCATGCATACATAAATACGTACATACATACAACCATACATACATGCATACATACGTACATACCTACATTTCAGTTCATTCATGCATCCATCCATTGCATCCCATTCCATTTCATTCCACTTCATTGAATTCATTCATTCATTCATTCATCCATCCATCCATCCATGCATGCATTCATTCATTTCATTCATTTCATTCATTCCGTTCATTTCATTCATTTCATTCCATTCGTTCATTTCATGCATTTCATTCATTTCATTCCATTCATTTCATTCATTCATTTCATTCATTCATTTCATTCATTTATTCATTTCATTCCACCCATTTCATTCATTCATTTCATTCGTTTATTCATTTCATTCCATTCATTCATTTCATTCCATTCATCTCATTCATTCATTCATTTAACTCATTCGTTCATTAATTCAGTCATTCGTTGATTCATTCATTCATCATTCTTTCATTCATTTCATTTCATTCATTTCATTTCATTCATTTCATTTCATTCGTTTCATGTCATTCGTTTCATTTCATTCATTTCATTTCATTCCATTTCATTCCATTTCATTCATTTCATTTCACTCATTTCACTCATGCATTCATCCATCCATCATTCATTCATTCATCCATCCAGGCATGCATTCATTCCTTCATTTGATTCACCCATTCATTTCCTTCATTTTCTTCATTTCATTCATTTCTTTCATTCCATTCATTCAACCATTTAATCATTTCGTTCATTTCATTCATTTCACTTTTGCCTCCAAGGTCTTGGTATTACTGTGGTAAATTCAGCCCATCCTGTTTGGACGAGAGCAGTCCTGCACATTCTCACGCGCTCTGTATGCGCATCAACTCGTAGGCAAAATGCCTACTTTCGCCTCAGCACCTGTGGCCGTCTGTTTCAATGACCATCGTCACATAGCAAATTAGATGTCATTACAAATCACATATTTCGCACATGCAAATCACAGGCTTGTGCTTGCACATATGCCAGAAGCAAGCCCCCATGTGTTGCACACAGCGGCACGTCCGTGTCACTTCAGTCGCTCACCCCACGCCCGACCGCCACACAAATGACACATCCCAGAGGGTCCGAGGACCGTCTGATATCCATCACATCTATGACAGTCTGACTGTCACCCGCTTGTATTCATGTCATTCAATTCGTTAATTTCACTCATTTCAATTATTTCATTCATTTCATTCCATTCATTCAGTCATTCAATCATTTCATCCATTCAATCATGTCATTCTTTTCATTCATTTCATTCCTTTCATTCCATTAATTCATTCATTCATTCAATCATTCATTCAATCATTCGATTCGTTCATTCATCTCATTTCATTCCATTCCATTTCATTTCATTTCATTTCATTTCACCTTATTTCATCTCAATCCATTCATTCATTCATTTATTCATTCATTCAATATTTATTTATATAGTTATTTCATTCAATTCGTTTCATTCATTCCATTCCATTCCATTCCATTCCATCCTTCATACACCCATCCATCCATCCATCCATCCATCCACCCATCTACCCATGCATCCAACTACCCATCTATCCATTACTTCATTCATGCATTTATGCATTCATGCATTCCATTCTCAATTCATCCATTTCATGTTTGCCTTATTTTATGCAATTCATGCACTCATGCATTCATACATTCATGCATGCATGCATTAATTCGTATTTTTCAGTTCGTTTCATTCCAGTCCATTCCATCCTAATGTATTCACTCATTCAATTTATTCGTTAATTCATGCATTCATGCATTCATGCATTCATGCATTCATGCATTCGTTGTTTGATTTCATCCCACTCCCTTCATTCATTCATTTCATTCCATTCATTCATTTCAATTTATTCCATTCCATTCCATTCCTTCATTCATTCATGCACTAGTCTACTTCATCTCATTTCATTCCATTCCCTCACTCACTCATTCATTCTTTGCTTGTCATTTCATTCCATTCCATCCTTCATTCATTCAGTCATTCACTCACCTCACCATTCATTTCATTCATTCATCAATTCATTCCTCCCTTCCTCCCGCCCTGCCTTCCTTCCTTCCGGCTTAGAGTCTAGAGTAGAGGGTCTTCCCAAGCAGGCCTGTGAAGAAAAAACATGACGAGATGAAGCGCCCCCATTCAAAATGTTCCATGGCCCCCAACTCCAAACCCGACAAGCTGCCCTCTGGGGGTCTGTGGCGTAAGCAGTGGCCTTCGTGAAACAGCATCTGCGCCTATCTCTTCCACATTCTCTGGCAAGACCCTCAATTGCAGATCGGCTCACTGGACTCGCAGCCCGGTGGAAACTCGCAGTGAAGCAGCTGCCCAGTGCCTCGGAATCGCAGTTCCACCGCCAAAGCAAATATGCACATGAGTCGCCGCGGTGTTGTTGAGGCATGTCCGCGTGTCCGCATATGTCCGAATAGCATTCATCGGCCATGGCACAAAAATCACGGAGCACTCGCCGCGCAGCCCAGGTCTCATCAGGCACACCCACTCTTAGGAAGTGGTGCCGGTGTGTCGCCAGGCCACACAGGACCTGCGAAGCAAGTTTTTCCCCAGTCTTCATGCCTGCCTGTGCCGTCGAAAGCTCCTGATGCGCTATCTCGTCCGAGGTCTCGCCGACGCCGCGGCGGATGGCACCGTCCCGGACCTCCATGCATTTCACAGAATCACTTCACAGAAGGAGGTCCAACCCAAACCATGGAGGATTCTTGCTCGCGTCTGTCGGGGAACCTCCGAGGCACTGACACCGTACCTGATCAGGGCAGGAGAAGCAAGTGGCACCGCAGCGCTTCTTTCTGCCACTTTTTGGCAGTGGTCGGCCTCTTCAGGATCGGTTCAGGGCCGATCTTGCCAACAATAAGCCGAATGGGATCGATGAAATCCCGGAGTTCATCGAGGGGGACGGTTCCGTTGATGACCAAATGTGCCCTGGTGGCTACCACCGATGGAAAAACCAGGCCCGGACAGTCGCAGAGAGTTATGTTAGAATCACTGAGCTCCAGAGTCTGCAGGTGCTTCGTCTTGCCAGGAGTACGGCTCATCGACACTTTCTTCGCTCCAAAAAGAGCATTGATGACCGAGCTTTTCCCGACATTGGGGTAGCCCACAAAGCCTACGACGCCTCTCCTGGAGCTGCTCCCAGGAGGCATCCGGGCTTGCAGCTCGTCCAACAACCGGCTGCAGTCCGCAACGCCACTCATCCGGTGCTCCGCAAGAGGACCGTGCGGCGGAAGACGTCGGGAGCTCGCGGAACTCTGCGCATCATCCACCTGCCCCGGCTCCTCCTCTGCGTCGCTGTCGCTGTCAGCGAGGTCACTGGTGATGTCGTCCTCCTCCTCATCCGCCTTCTCCGGGCGATTCGAGGAAGCAGAGGCCTGCTGCTTCTGGAGCTCCCGCAGGGCAGAGAAGAAGATAGTCTCCACGCTCCTCTCTTTCCAGTAAGCAGTCCACTGCTCGCGCTGTTCTGCATTCAAGAAGTCGGCCTTCAGGGCACTAGCTCCAGTCCGCCCCCGCAAAAACGCCCAGGCCTTGTTGAGCAGGAGGAGGTGGCGTTTGTTCGGAAACTGCTCGATGTAGCGCTCCAGATCCCGGCATCTGTAAAATTCGGGATCCCGCGCGTCCAGGATCTGCACGAGGACCTGACGAGCACGGGGATCCGCAACAGCAGACCCAACGCACGCCGCAGAGGTGCTCCGAGGCGCGTCACTGCGTTCGACGCAGCGCCAAAGCTGGCGCCAGAAGTCCAGATTTCGCTCGTAAGGCGTCAATACCAACCCATCCTCACAGGTTCGAGAAGCGGTATGGATGATCGTATCTGGCTCCGTTCCAAGTTTGGCTTAGCACAGAGACCGGGCTTGCCCTGTCCTCTTCTTCGAGCTTCGCAAGCCCTCGCCTCAAGAATGACTCAAGGGCGACTCGTGACAGCGCTTGAACCGCGCGGAATCTAGCCGTTGCGAAAGAATCCAGCATTCGTACCACACGTCTCCCTGTGCAAAATACTGGCTTGCCTGCTTCAGATTCAAAGTCTCTCGGGGTTGATTCGTTGCTGCATGAAAACTGACAGGCTGACACAGGCTGACCTCTGTCGCGAACTTCATCCAGGGAAGCGAAGCGGGCCCCGGGTGTCCTGCCTCCATTCGAGGAAAGCTTGGCCCTCGGCCGAGGCCAGCTCTTCTGCGGAGGAAGCCTGGCAGATGGCGAAACTTTCGAGACCTCGGCCACCTCGGCCACCTCGGCCCTCAAGGCAGATCCACATCACTCCGACCCGTCGGCTTCTGCTCAGCAATTCTTCTGCTGTGTGCTGGTCCCCTTTTGAAACCGAAAGGTTCTCGCCTCTTTCCAGGGCGGGCGCCACGGGATGGGCACGTCCACTTTCTTGGCCTCGGCCTCCCTCTCCTTAGCTGGACCCGTACTCCTTTGCGTGTGGAACTGGAATCTGAAGCCCAAGTCTCGCGGGTGGCTGCCGGGTCCATAGCTGCTCGGTAGATGATCTCCTGAGAAAGGCAAACACAGTTGCTCGAGCCATCTTCGAGATAAAACCCCTTGCTGCACTGTCGGACTCCAATGACAGGGAGGGCTGACTTTACAATTGCAGTCTGCGGCTCTGTCGTGCACTCGACAGCTTGACCTGCCGAGCTGCGAGAGCGAAACTCTGATTACAGCGTCCAGAGTGTCCGCCTAAACCCACCAACAGAGCCTCTCATGGCGTGGAAATCGACCTTCGCAAGCCTCAGTCCGAAGGACGGAGCACGGAATGAACGGTGGCCACAGGGCTCCGATTGCTTGCGAGGTTCTCCGCTTTGGCGATAAAATCATCCAGCGAGGTTTGCTCGAGCACCGACCTGTGCGCCTTGTCCTCCGCGACACCGCTGGCCTTGTAACCCTGTTCCGCACGCTTTCGCCGGTCATTGGCCAATGAATTGCCCAGCCCGGCGCCGGATTTCTTGCGGGTCATGGCGGAGAGGACGAGAAAAGCTCGAGCCCTGTGGTCTGCGTCATTATGTGGTCTTGAAGCCTCAATCCGAAAAGCCCAACAAGAGGCCACTGCACGAGCCCCCTATAAACTCCTGACAACCCGTGTTGAGGCCACCACTTGAGCGTCTCGAACGCTGTCCAGTCGAAACCCTTGTAGAAAGGATGCCTGAGCTCGACAACCCAAGCATTACCTGGACTCTTTGACTGATTTTTGAAGATTGGTTCTATGATTCCCCCATGTCAGAAACTCAAAGGAATTCCATCCTATGCGGCGTGCTATGGCGTGCATCTACAGTCGCAGCTGCTGGCACGGCAAGGCAGAGCAGAGGACAAGTCCCCCGTTGCATTGGTGGTGCACTGAAGGCTTGAGTGGAGGTTCAACCTTTCCCTTGCTGCTCGGAGGCTACATGCAGCTCAGTGCTGCTGGTGTGCAGGAATTCAGTCCCTTCGGACATAGAACAAAAAACCGCACACCCTGACACATCATCACCATCACCAGGCACTCGATGTCCCAGCCGCGACTTGATGTTCCGGCTGCCACCCTTCTTCATGGGAAGCCTCTCCGAAGGCTCGTGCTTGCAGAGGCTCTTGACCAAATCCTGCAAGCTGGCGCTGGGACTCCGAACACCTCAAACACAGACGGTCTCTTCGAGCTCAAAGGCAAGGCTCATCCCCTAAAACAGACGAGACATCAGTTTGAACCACACAGCGCACAAACATAACAGCTCTAGAATAACCGTGCGCAAATGTGTTTTCGGGTATAAAGCTCCCTGGCTCGGCGCAGGAGTCCGGTCAAAAGCATGCAGGCTTTGCAACATCACAACTTCCCGGTAATCAGTAAAAGTTATTCCCTCAGAAGCGGCTGCTGCGTTGTACTTTGGCCTCGCGAGATTTTGGTCATACATCATTGGCGCATCTTGAAGCTGGTGCTACTTTTTGTCGTATCGGCAGTCGGACAGCCAGGCGCGGGGCCCCGTTCGGTGACGACAAAGCCGATGAGTCTTCCGCGCCACTTCTAGCCATCAGCTCGACTATCTTGTCCAGGACACCACACGGCACTCATCGAAAAAACAGTGCCAGCAAAATGGACTGATGCAACTCAATGCAACTCACAAACAAGCCCATGTCCCAAACCTTGAAACGGGAAGGCTCAATGACGAGCCCACAGACACAGCCGCCCTGTGCAAAACCAAAGCCTCCAACACATCCCAAAGCCTATAAATCTCCAAAAATCCAACAGCATCCAAAAGCTCCTCGGCTGAGCCCTTGCACTTGGGCGGGAACGCCACCTCTCCCGGCCATGCCCAGTTCGCTTCACACTGGCTGATAGCTCTGCGAACATGCAGGCCTTCGCGATGCCGCGCATGATTTTCTGGTAAGTCCTTCACACTGATATTCTGCTGCGGCAGATCCCAAACCTGAAATCACGGCTCGGTTCCGGGCTGCATTGGGTACGAAGACTCGAAAGGCGGGTGGCCACCTCAGACATCAAGCTGCTCAAAGTCTTAGGGTCGTAGAAGGTACAGTACCAGGAGTGTACCAGGCATGAGCCGGCCCTTGCGATCTCCGCATGCGACGACTTCGTATCACAGAGGAGGTGCAACTTCGTGGTATGAGACCGCTTCAGCCAATGACAAGACCGCTGAGAATACTGATCAGTTTTGCCCGTGTTTTCATGCTCTTTTGGGCCTGTGCTTGTCCACCAGCATAACTAAGTAGAAGACCAAACAAACAGCCGCCAAAAAGTCCACTCAAACCTGCATCCCAGATTTTTAAGAGGTCAAGTTCACTAACACGAGGAAAATCGGCTGGTTCTTCCACACACGCCGCAGCGGGCGGCACAGATTTCTCGGAAAGAGCAGTGCAGACAGAACGAGTTCTCGGCGTGAGCCCTCAAAGCCCGAAGAGCCTTATGACGATCCCTCAGAGCTTTCAGGACAGAAAGCCCGTAGAGCTCTCACAGCCCTTAGCGTCGTCAACACCCTGAGAGCTTTGGAGCATCATTTAAAGCCCCAAGAGCTGCTTTCAGGGCGGTAAAGAGTCCCGACAGCACTCAAACAGAGCCCTGAGGCTCAGAGCCCACGTATCTTTCTTATCCTTCTTTTGGACATACGATCGATCGGTCCCATTGAGACCGTGTCCACATTTGTCCCTTTGACGGATCACCAACGAACCCGTTTTGAGACGGGCAGGGGGTAGCCGATCTCGGTGCTTGTTTTCCCCAGCCCCAGGTGCCTACCGCCATTTATAAAATAAAATTGAATTTGTCAGTAAGGGCTGTTGCAACAGGTATGTGAGTTTTCGCACCCCCGTGTTTCGAACAATGCGACAAAAAGAGACAACGAGACGCTCGCAGATGTGTAAGCGAGGCCAACGCTGAGGAGCTCGAAGAGGAAGATGCCCAGCGTCCACCAGTCCACTGCGACCGTGTGACCTCTGCAGTGGAACCATACTATCTTGGCGGGTGCAATGATGCGACTTTAAGACCGTGGCCAGTAGATGCGATTAGCTCTGGCGCAAAATAGTCCGGCGTGCCACAGGCAGTGTATGTCTTGCCGACACAAATCTGGCAGGCAGAGGCGGGCGCACGTGCAGCAGCGACCAAAGCAAGCCCCACAATGCATACCAAAACTGCTTAGCCTACCATCGCACACCTTCGCGAGGCCCATGTCCGTTAGCTTGATGCAGCCTCTGTCGTTGAGGAGCAAGTTCTCCTGCAGATGCAAGAGTTCCTGGGCAACATACAACAACCGAGCACAAAGCAAAGACATGCATGCATGCACACCGTTTTCCTGCACAAGCCCTAGGCTCTCTATTCGAGCGGGGCGCTGGTGGATGGGCCTAATGGCTGTCCACCAACTGCCCTCCGGGGATGTGCGCGTTTAGTTGCAAAGGCCGAATCTTCAACAAGGGCATCAGCTCGTCGCGTGACTTCCCCAATGTGGAAATACCATTCATGTCCATGATTACCGCGCCTGGCACCAAGCCAGCTCTCTCTGCCTCGCCGCCTGGAACGACGCTTCCCACACAGGGGCGCTCAGCCTCCCACACGATCTCAAAGCCAAGTTTCTTTACATGCTCATCGAAATGAAGCTCAAGGCTCCAAGGGTGCGAGTCGGACTCACTGTCGGGATGTTCGGCTTCCACAGGTAGTGCTTTCAGTGTATCTTTGGGCGAAGGCGAAGCATATTCAACAGAGGCTTCAAATGCAGCAGTTGCAAATTCAGGCAGGTTGTCCTTTGCGGCGATGCCTTCACGAACCTGGCTTCCTGTGCTGGATTCTCGTGTGTGGCCTGTACGCGAGCTTGGTGTGCCAGCAAACTCAATTTGAGGAGCTTGGGCTTGAGAATCGAGTTCGCAGAGCTCGCTGTCTGTCCTGTCATCTCGTGGTTGCAGCGCTGGCTGCTGCATTCCAGTGGCCACACGGGCTGGAGGAGATCCTGGCTCACCCACCGTAGTCAGTGTTGCCAGGAGGGTCTTCGGCGGTTTCAGGGTGTCGCTCTCTCTCTTGGGGCTGTCACGCATCCCAGCTACAGCTCCTGCGACCTGTCCAATCTTCTCCGTGGCGCCAAGCAATGAACGGCTGAAGTCGTCAGCCACAACATGAAGATGAGATGCACATCTGTCATCCAACTGCTTCAGAGAGCGCCGGAACTGTTCCATGCATTGGTCCTTGCTTCGCTTCAAGGCTGCTTGTTGGTCCATCTTACTGGCGAGCTCTTCCACCACTGCAGTCTCCATAGCTGCCATCTCCTCCAAACGAGCCTGAGGCCGCCGGAACCAGCTTCGGCTGTTCTCCTGTCGTGCGATGGTCTGCAGCTCAGCGGATGTCCGCTCCTTCTGCTTCAGGGTCTCTGCAACCGCTCGCGAGCAGGCCAGGTCCTGAGGGCAGGGGGCACGCAGGCACGCAGTCGCAACATTGAAAGTCGCCAAAAACACACACCGCCTCTTGAAAAGCCAAGCTGGCCTGGCACCCGCATCCCTCCTACTTGTCCTGCTGATCAAGCTCCAAAAGCCTCAGCCTCTCCTCCACGCACTCCTCCTGCCAGTCAGGTGCACTAATCAAGAGCCCCTCCATTCTCTTCAGATTTCATCCCTGCCTTCAGGCTGTTGGAGAGTGCTTCCAGCGGAGCCAGGACTTGGTTTGAAAGATTGGCGGCCAAGTCAGCCAAAGCCTGTCCGATGCCCTGGAATGCGTCGATCATGGCCTTGGTCCCAGAAGCTGCCGGAGGATCTTTGTCCTCGAGTTGCTTCTGGAAGGTCGCATCTGCCGCGATGCTCCTCGTACTCCGCAGCAGGCCCGCTGCAGCAGCCTGAATCGACTTTCCAGCCACGCGAGTGGCATGCAAGAGCGGGGCCAGGCTCGTCACGCGAGCGACCAGCAGAGCGTCCGCAGCAGCTGCATCTCGCAGCTCGTGAGTTTCTCCGCTTCCACGGCCTTCAAGGTAGGCTTCCCCCCGCCGAGCACTCGGCGCAGGTTTAGGCCGGGCGGAACGAATCTTTCGTGTAAGCTCTTCATCTAGCCCTGCGAGTGCCATTGCTACCGGAACGAAACCTTCCGTTGGCAAAACAGCTCGCAATGGTGATACAATCCCTGCTCATGGTTCCACGAGATTGTCAGCTTCTAGGGGAGCGCACGCTGCTCGCACTCTCCCTGCAACTTAGGCAGGTCTCCGGCTTCAGGTCTCGATAGAGGATCTTCTTTCCTCGGTCCACCAAAAGCGTCATGCTGAGTAGGAGCTCCCTTGACACACTCGCTGCAGCCCAGCATCCATGCAGATGGTCGAAAGCCAAGACCACGCCAGCAACATAGAATTTTGCAAAGTTGTCCTTCAATCAGCAGGACAGCTAGCAGAGCTATCGTGGCATGCCGCGTGCTTCACCAGCGTCGCTTTTGTCGGCTGATGGGCTGGCCGAAAAATCCGGTCTCCCAGACTCGCCCCCCGTTCTTCAGGGGGCTCCTACGTTTCAGCTCTATACATTTGTACACGCCGATGCCTGGCTCGACGAGCAGCATCGTAAAGCCCCACACTACATGGGAACGTCACCTCCAAACAGCTCGGAGAACGAAAGGAGACCCTCAGAGATGGCAGAAGGCTTCTCTTCGTGCCTGCATCAGCTTTCCGCGAGGGCCTCCAGGCCAGACTTCTTCGAGCTCTTTCTGCCCCTTGGCTAAATGCGGTGCCCCAAACAAGCCCCTTCAGCCCTTGGTGTCGGTTGCATAAGCCTCGCCCAGCGGCCGCTGTGATCCAGGTGAGGTTGGAATCTCTAAACCGAGAGCTAAGCGCCCTTCTAAGACTTCCTTCTTGTCTGTGCCCTGGGCGGACAGGGCACCGGACCGTGCAGTGCCTTGGACGGCTGAGCTCGGGGCCGAAAGCATCGAGGAAGTCCTGGGCAGTCTGTGCAATAAGGCCGCAGCTGTACAGCCGACTTGCCGTCGAGCAGCTTGGGACCCACAAAGGACGCAAAAAGCTCCATGATCTCCACGTCTTCATCGTCGAAGTACTCCAGCTGCCCATCATAAGCGACCTGTGTGCTTACGATTAACACAACGTCCATCGTACAAGTTCTCTTTCTCCACCTTGTTGATCATCTGAATGACGCCGACGACGTCAGAAGTGTGAGACTCACCCCTTGCAATGATCGGGACGGCCAGGATACTCCTGGTCCGGTAGCCTGGTTTGCCATGCACTTGCTCTGATTGTCTCACAGAGTGTTCTTGAAATCCTGCCTGTCTGGATGTCCACTTGCTTGTTGAATCGCGGATCTGAGTATGCATCCTTGGGCCGCAGCCCTGCTGTGGCCGGAGGCCACCGCATCCGTACAACAAGAGGGTTGCTTGTTTCGAGGAAACATGCTGCGGACCCGCCGCACAAATAAAGCGGATTGGGTCGCACCGACGAAACACGATGCGGTCTTTTATTTCGGGACAATTCAGGCTTGCAAAACCCAACTCCTTCAGCATCCCATGGATATGATGCGGCATCGTCACCTCATCGTTGTCATCCTTGTAGTTATCACCGGCATCATCAGCCTTCGTCATTGTCGTCATGTCATGATTAGCATCAACATCAACATCCCCCAATGTGGGACGGTCATTTCCCGGCAAGTGGTGCCGAAACTACAGTTTCGAGAATGCCGTCATACGTCAAGGTCTCAACACAGACAGGTGGTGACTACGATGCTGACAATGGTGAAAACGATGCCGATGAATTCATGCACCTCTCTTAATGACTTGCGAGGCCAACCCACGCCCGCTTGCAGGACGTCTTGAAAGGTGATTCCGGTACATGGCTGTTGGACTTATTGGACATAGGCGTCCTCGCGCTAGCACGGTCTGTTTCTCAAGGAAGGTGTGCAGTTGTTGCCGTTATCTAAGGCTGTCAAAGAATCAGGGATATTGATTACCTTTCCTTGGCAGCAGCATTCTCCAGCAATACCTTGGTTTGGAAACTGCAAGAGCTGGTCAGCACCTGATATGCTTCTCGATGCAAGACCACGGTGCCCTTGTCTTTGGGTATGCGGATCTCTGCGCCGGTGTCCGTGGAGACGGACCAGAGCTGCTGCGCTGCCTCGTCAAGGAGGAAGACGCTGCACCTGGTGACCCCACACAGCTCCGTGGCTCTTCTGTTGCAAAGTCGCCCGCCTCTGCGCACTGCACACTTTGCTCCTGAGTAGCTCTTTTGGACCACACTCTCAGCCCTTCCATGTTGTCTTCTAGTCTGCATCAGCCACCAGGGGGCGCATGCATCGTGACCATCAGGAGCAGCGACTGAGGGCCTAGGTCCTGTGGCAGGGCGCCTACTATGTGGGCTCCGGGCTTCTTCAAAGTGGCCATGGCTCCTGTGACATGCTCTGGATGGTGTTGAGCAAGCCCGTGGCACGATCGCTGCAGTTGATGGCCTTTTTGTTCAGGGCTTAAGTTGGATCCGCTAACACCCGAAATACCGGAACTGAGGTGGAATTTCATCTGCTGCTTCGCCTCGCGGTACACTTCCGCGTTCTGGAGGGCGATTGCTATATGCTCGGCTAAGTACAGGAGCATTCGCCTTAGATGCTGCCACTTGACCATCCGGCACAACCTGTTCAAAGGCAGGCAATCGATGGAAACAGGGCACTCGTCCTGTCTGGAGAAAGGAACGGCGAGCTTTCCTCTTGGCCGGATCTCGGCATCAAAGCCGCTAGGCATCTTGTTGATAGCCTCTTGGACTGGAAAATTGTGAGTCATCATGGAAACTGACCCGATGAATCTAAGTCTCTAAGGGCTCCGTTGCCTGGATGACTCCGGTGCACTGGCCCTCGAAGTCCACGATGGGAACCTTGGCCCACTGATAGATCGATCCAAGGGTCCAAAAACCTCTCCTCAAAGCTCTTGCGTTCCCGCACCAGCAGAAGATATCATGATCATCATGATTTCAAAGGCACCACGATCATGCTTCTGGTGTGGTAGCCGGTTTCTTTGTCGAACGACTGGTCAAAGCGGCTGTCCTGCTACTTAGAAATCAGGGTTGCTTATAACCGAAATGGGAAAAGCATGACTTCCCGAAATTGCATGGAAAATTGCAAGAGTCCTGCCTTTTCTCGGCGGCGGCTGACACGTGCAGATGTTCTGATGGATGTGAAACACAGGGTTCAAAAAATCCTCGTTCTCCGCTATGCTGTAGGACAGCAAAGCCTGTAGTTATTTAAGTAGTACGTAAAAGTATGTTGTGCATGATGGCGACCAAGCTGTCAACCAAGGCCCGGTTGCACACGTTCGTGTGTCACTGGGCAAATCAGACCCGTCCTTCTACTATGTCCACCCGGGAGTCTTCGCACACATCCTCCGCATCTGCCGCGGAGTTGTCACTGGAGCCATCGTAGCCGTGCTCATCCAGATCTGCGACGAGCTTCTCGACTTCGATGGAATTCTGTGTCGAGGTGGGGGAGCCCAAGCTGGAATCATCTTCTGAATTCTGCCTAGTGGGATTGGAGAAGTTCTGAAGATACTCGTGCATGGCTTCGATGCGACTCCCGAAATACTGCGGCGGGAAGTATACGTCACGCGCGTTCATCAACTTCTCGCCCAAACGCTGCAACCTGAGCAAGTGCCTTTCACGCGGCTTCTGCGTGCGGAGCCTCAGCATCTGTACCAGCATACTACCATAGAGACCCGTGAGCGCCTGCACAACACGCAACTTGTCGCACAAAACGTGTTCTCCCGTTGCGGTTTTGTGCTGCCGCACGCAGCAGTCCAGTTCCCCGGAATATACGTCCAGTAAATCCACGAACTCGTTCTGCATGCCATCTTCATCCATGAAAGGCAGCGGCTGCAGCCGACCTCCACTCGTCAAGTACACTCGCTGTCTGAAACCTTCTTCCGAGTCGGTGGGCACCATATCCACGCTCACCGTGCGAGCCATGCTCCGCGAAACCAGAAAACTTGCATCCGTGTCCGTTCGATGGTGGCTCAAGGCCGTCAGAACGGCACAACAAACTTCTAATCTGCACCAAAAACGGCTCGAATAGGATGCAAAATTACAAGCGCTCTTCCGCTCGGCATGCATCACCTCAGGGGCCACGATGATGAATGCTGAACAGGCTGCGACATACCTTAGGTCTCGACGGCAAACGTGGACGTCTGCAATCGAAACTACTGTCACTACTGCTACAGCAGCTGGCACACACACACACACAAACAGAAGAGGGCCAAGTGGCGCCGGTAGAGAGTTGATGGCAAGCTGTTGCTGCTGAGCAGAACACTGCGGAATGCTACAGTAATCAACCCAGATGAAGATGTTGCTGATTGATAAGCGTCGCACCCGCACCATGTCCTCAATGGCCCTCACCATAGCAGTGTACTGACGCGCATCCGGATCTGGAAGCTGCGAGGAGAGCCATTGGTGCGAGAAGAAAACAATGCAACCTTTCCTGCGAAGTTTTGCTGCCGAACGGGGAGTATCCAGCATGATCAGTAAGTTCTTGTCCCGCAACCATTCATGCTGTGCCAACCTGCCAAGCTTTTTGAACTCCTGGGCTCGAACCAGTGCCAAAGGGAACTGCATAATTCTGGAGGCCTTGATGAGTTTTCCCGCATCGCTTACATACTGCGTGTACTCCAGCTCTTCTGCCATGGCTTGTTTGTCCCGGTCCCTGATGACTTCCAAATAAAAGGCATTTCCAGTCATCAACAACACATCACAGAACAAGGCCACGATCACCGTGGCTTCTGCTGTGACGTCCAGTGGCTCCGCACCAAGCAACGTTTTCACCGATTCATGACGAACAGTGTGGGAAACCGGCAGCATGCCGAAGTAATGTACGACACTCGCAAGTGTCGCCACTAGGCATGAACCAGCACATCGCCAGAGTGTCTTGTTGGGCAGATTAGCGATAAGCACCAGGATGATGGAACAGCACGCTAAACACACCAGGACGCTTAGCAGCACAAGCCACCCATCAAAGACGCAAACAAATTGGCCTTGCTCCGCCAACAGCCCGAGGTAGTGCATACTCCCCACCCCAATAGAAAGCAACGCCGTAGCTGCGGGCAGTCGAGTGTAGTGACCCTTAAAGATGACCGTTTGGCCGACGGACACGTGTATAGCCAGGCCAGCAAAAAGCCAGCAAACGGCAGCCGATAGCAATGTCAGCCCCAGTTCGAAGCCGACGGGTGTGTTCAGCTCCTCCTCAACATTACTTCTCCAAAGCACGAAGGACCGCATGCCCACGAAGTGCATGCACCACACTGTGGACACCCCGAGGCCTAGACCACATTGCACTACCATCACGACATACCAACACGAGCTTCGCACAAGGCGGATGTACGATGACGTTGTCAAGGTCGTAAATGCGCCGACTACCGCGACCATCACTGAGAGGAAAACTAGCAAGCTGTTGAAGACCATGTGCAACCCTTCACCGTCGCGAGGATCCCCAGCAGAACCACTCCAAAGCTTCCTGTCACTGGAACTCGGCAGACTCAGAGCCAGCGCGCTCTGCTTCTTCGAAGCTAAGACCACGAGGCAAAAAACGCTAAGAAGCGAAAAGAACCCTGCGAGGGTCCGTCTGCAGATCATTACACCTGAAGGAAATGCAGAGGTCGGCTTTACCGAAATGCAAGCCGCGCCATGAGGGTTGCATTTGCTCCGAGAGGATACATAATGCAATGACATTGAGCACGTTTGAAGTCAAGATACTTGATGCACGGTCATGGGGTGACTACAGTACTGTCGTGTATGCTGACACACACCCTCGCAACCCTGGCTTTTACCGTAAACGGCGACAGGGGACCATGCATTCGCCACACCGGCATGTGATGTTCGCAACTACCACGGATGCAGCCGACATTAATGCGCCAGAATCTACTAATTAGTATCGGAGGTGTTTTGTCAAGTTGCGCTGACCAAAGACTCGTTCACTTTTTAGGGCTGTGGTTCGCTGGTCGCTGTGTCACTGCACAGCAAGCGGGCGTGGTTGAGATAGATGTACTGTGCTGGCCTCTGCTTGTACTTCTTAGGTTTCAATCAACTTCGCACAGGTCCTGGTAGCAGTTTGGGATGTTGACTGGTTCCTGCGTAAGGAAGACAGTGCCCGCAATGCCTTGACCGAGCCTGGCAGTTCCAGTGCAAGAACACGGATGTCTAAACCTTCATGACATGGGGTGAAGCCCTGACTGGGAACAAGTGCTAACTCTGGCCAAGGAGACTTCACCATGACTGGAGCTTCAGAGTTTGACTCGTATAACCGAAGCATCTGCATCTTCCTGTCCAACACCTTCAGGCAATTGCTGGAGCTGTTGCTCTGACACAGTGTTGGCCACTACAGGACCGATCTCTCGCAGTTGGCCAAGCCAAGCCCCTCACGTAAAGGGAGACTGCATCGCAGCTCAACAGCTCCAGCGTCTCGGAGATGGTGATGTCTGGAATCAGGTAATGCCATCAAAGTTGTGAGACACCAGGCTTTTTCGTTCTCAAAATATGCACTGTGCAAATGAAGCGTTCCGCGCTTTAAAAAAAGACAGTCACAGAGACCATGGCTGAACAGGGAACCAGCTTCGGGACACGCTCTGTTGCATGACAAGTTGGCTTGTGTCTTTTTCGGGTCTCTGGCAACTAATTCACCCTGCTTCTTGCCATTCAGCAGTCTACATGAGCTAAAGTAGATCTTGCGTAGCATGGTCAGCAGGTGGCAACAATTGTCTGCGCTTTAGATAAGTGGCTGATGGTCTCTTGCGGGATGATTTTGCCAGTTATCCTTCGGGAGACCAGGAACAGCTTCTGCAGGTCCGCATCCGAGAGGTCGCCGCCGTCAGACTCAATGTCCTTGCAGGAAACCGCTTCTCGACAGGAAAGCAAGCCGAGCATGCCGAGCGCGAGGAGCTCACGGGCTTCGTGCGCAAGATCAGAAACAGGGCTACTGGCATGTTGCCGAGCTGGGCCCGTGTCCTTTTCTAAGTATTGTAGCAGAAACCTTCGCGGGTTCTCAGGCTTTGCGATAAGCACTTGCTTGAGCATCTCCTCAAGGACATCGGCACTGATTCTCCGCTCTATCACTCAAAGAAATGCCGTCCTGGACCACCTCGTCGACATCGTATTTGCGAATGAGGAGCTCCAGGGCCTGCCTCAAACCGACGCGAGACGAGAAACTCAACAGCCAGCAAGCTACATTGAAATGGATTCGGAATCTAAGGTGTGCCGTGCCGGCCTCTCGGCAGCTTCCCGCGACGTCATTGCTGTCTGCACTGACTTCTTGTATTTGCGAACTGTTGTTGTTGGCATTGGCTATTGCATGGTAGGCTGGTAGAAGCTGTCAAAGCATCCCTCAGTGTCTTGTTGACATGAGAGCTACCATGTATGTGGCAGCACCAGCAATCAATGAGTGTGACCTCATCTCACCGTCTGACCTCGACGCTAATTACTGGGCCTATATCACGGAACGAAACGGCTCTCTCGACAGAAAGCGACAGTTGCAAGTCGCACGCTCTAAAACGAAGTCCAAAAAGGGGTGAAACAGCAGCTGAAGTCTTGGACTACTGTAAGACGTGCACATCAACAACAAACAAGCAAGCAAACAAACGAGCAATCATGCCTGTATACATGCATATATACACGTACATGTACATGAATATGTGTATATATATATATATATATTGATTGGCACTCGCGCTCGCGATATATATATATATATATAGACATATGTGTGTGTGTGTGTGCTTGCGCGTCTCCCACACACACACAAACACGCACTGCGACTCCATCCCAACAGCCAGTTGCTGGTGGCGCATGTCCTTGCCAAAGAACCCTTTCCGGTTGTACCTGCCAAACACGTAGCGGACGGACAATCGATGTTCCGCGAGATAGAGACAGCTCGGCTCCTCACGTTGCATAAAGCTCCCCGCCGAGCGCGGCTTCCATCAGGAAATAGAGCACTGGCAACAGGCAATTTGCGTTGTTCCAGGCCGATGTGCATCTCCAAGCAAAGTGCATCGTCTCGAGTGCTGAGGAGCCAACTGTCTGGTGAGTTGTATGTCCTAAAGATAAGGATGCTTGGCAAGCTTGCCGGACATCTACTACGGCGCAACCCCTCTAGCGGCCAGTGTTCGATAGTGCTTGCAAGTTGCTCGAACAGCCTCACAATGAAGAGCGAGTCGCACTGCATGTGGACTGCTTTCTCCTGGCAGTGCATGCGTCCTTTGCATTCTGAACAGTCCTGCTTCGCTTGCAGGACGAGCAGGATGATTTATTCCCACCCCAAAGTCCCTGGGCCGGCTTTTCTTCTTACCTTTTGCAGGCGAGGAGGCTGGGTGGAGCCAATAAAGGCCAGGAAAACCGAAATGCAGGAAGCGTGACACTCGTTGCGTGACACGAAAAAATATGTATGATGCACTGCCGGAGCTGACGCAAAATGGCAAAAAACTGAAAACAGAAATTGTAAAGACAGTCTACCACTCAAAAATCGAAAAGGAAGACGGCAAAAGCATTGGAAAAAGAAGAAATGTAAAACAGGCCGCGGTGCGAAAAATGTAAAGCATAAAAACCAGCAAAAAATGTAAACGCGTAAAAGCAAGCCACCGAGCGAAAAAGGTAAAAAAGTATAAACGCAAAAAGAAAATCAACGAAACCAAGTAAATGTGGAATTTCATTCCATCGATGGACCCAAAGCCGAACAGGTTTAGAAAGCTAAACAAGAGCATGGTGCATGACCCCTGTGACCATGAACGGCTGGCCGGCGCGCACTTGCGGGCAGAGCTGCAACGGCTTTGTTCCAAAGGTTTGATGGGGTTCAGCCAGAATCCACAAATTGAAAAGCCTAAAACCCTGTCCCACAACTGTTAGACCGTGGACGTCATCATGGTTGGGCCTTAGATGCTGTCTTCTCAGAACCGATGAGACCACTGCCGTCATCATGGTTGGGCCTTGGATGCTCTGTTCTCAGAACGAATTAGACCATGCACGTCATCATGGTCCTGGATGCTCTTTATCACAACCGATGAGACTATGGACGTCATCATAGTTGGGCAGTGGGTGCTCTCTTCTCAGAGCGCATGAGAGAATGGACGTCATCATTGGGCCATGGATGCTCTTTGATCATGGACGTTATCACGGTGGCCCATGGATTCTTTCCTCTCAGAACAGATTAGACCGTGGACATCATGAGGGTCTCTTCTCAGATGGACGTCGTCATGGTTGGGCCATGGGTGCTGTCTTCCCATTCTTCTCAGAACAGATTCGACCACGGACGCCATCATTGGTTGGGCCATGGATGCTCTGTCTCAGAACAAATTCAAGCAGAGAAAGTCAGGCAAGATCGAAACAGTCAAAAATCAATTCATCCGAAACAAGAAACATCTGGAAAGCCGGAAAGCCGATCGAGGTCGGCAGCTCCTGAAACTCGAGTTTTGGACACGAAACAAACCCAAAATTCGCACACAAAAATCGACATCAGCACGTGAAATCACCTGCAGCCAAAAAACTCGAGAGAGACCGCGCATAGACAATAAAGCAGAGCGACAAAGCGCCCAAAAAGGGGGTCGAGGCGGCAGGTCATCCAACTGGCTTGAACAACCGTTAGCTTGAACCCTTGAAGGCTTAAAGCCTTCAGCCCTTAAGCCCGGCGGCCCCGGGCCCGTGAGTCTTCACGATGCCACGGTGCACATCGGAGGCCAGACGGGCTTGGGCATTGAGGGTTAAGGGGTTGAGGCCACGGTTTAGGGGTGTTCGAGGTTCAGGGTTCAGGCGAACACAACGAAAAGCGACAAAAAAGGCTTACCCTTTACGATTCTATGCGCCGAAACGATGCCCTTTACGCTTGCACGCTCTTACGCTGCGGCGCTGAGAAGATGCTTTCTACGCTTTTACGCTTTGCCACTTCTACACGCAAACTTATGCCAGGAAATCAGACACGGGACCAAGCAAAGTCGCAAAAACGACAAACTAACTAAACTTCGGTCTTACTGCCTTACTGTTTTATGACGTTTTATGCTGTTGTGCTTGTACGTGGAGCTGGCCCGTGGCCCAAACGCTAGAGAACGGCGCCGGAAAGAGTAAAACGCGCTTTACCTCCTGTGCTTTTACGCCCACCCAACTTGTAGGAGTCTGTCAAACAGAATAACGCCGGCAAGCCAGCTTACCCTGCTCTCGTTCTGTGCCCAAGGAGGAGCTCCAGTGGAGAGGGTAGGACGGGCCCAGGTCTGAATTTCACAGTCAGCTTCGAATTCGATGTCCGCCAGGAGCGGGTTGGTCGTTACTTTGTAGCTGAGAAGATCGAAAACGCGCACATCAGCAAAGTCAGAAGTTACAGGCAAAGCCACGTTTCCCTAGAAAACGGAACAGGTACTCGGAATGGGAATCGCACATGGCCCTGGGCCTGCAACACGCTGTTCTTCATCCCACTCTTGACAATGTAGCCCTTGCTAATCGCCTCAAGGATACCGGCATGGGCAGTCACGAGGCTTTTCTTTAGCTCTCCGGCACTGGCAGCAGGAACGGCATCACAACTCCAAGGTCAAGAGTCAAGACCTTAGCAAGACGCGGGTGATATGCTCCCTGCCTTGAGAGCATAGGTCTCGCCCGTGAGGTCATGCTCGACGAGCCTCGGACCCAAATACCGAACTCAACAGGAGGACACAGGACCACAATTGTGCGGATTGGTTCGGCAGTCTCTCGCATCGGAGGTCGTTCTGCAAGTGCACTTTCCCGAGACCCACGGCCCGTGCACACCATCAGTTGTACTAGAGTCACTACCCCGGAAACGTTGCTCTCAGCGCCGCACTCCACAAAGCCGAAGCCTCCACAGCCAAGGATGCCCAGAGTCTTCAGCTGCTTCCTGTCTTGCGGGCAGAAGGGCCGCTCTTTCTTTCATGGCCTGCTTACGTCGAAGTTGCGCAATTTCCGTTCCGGAGGCTCAGTGAGCTAACACAGAACAAAGCTCGTGTCCTGTCTTTGCTGTCTTGTCTGTTATCACCCCCCGCTCGAAAGACAGGCCCCTGTCATCCCCGAAAAGGTTCCAATGCTTCACCGCAAGTTCTGACAGCCCTGCTCTCGTCGCGCGTGTCGCTCCAAAGGAAAGATATATTAAACACCTCACATCGTCCCGACCTCAAGAGCGATCCTCGGGCTCTGCCGGTACAACTAGCCGTCTTACACTCGGAGAATTCCTCGCTGATACGGTTCCACACTGGTACCGGAAGACCTGCGGCATGGGTTCCCGCATATAATAGCATCCGGGAGATGTATGGAAAAAAGTAACTACTGGGTTAGTGGGATGGCATCACATGACCGGGTCAGGGCGAGCGGCAGAATGCGGCATTCGCAGAGTGCCGGTAAGATGCGTGTCTCTCTCTCGCTCACTGACTCGCTCCGGGTTCTTACTGAATATACTCACTCAATGAGCACCAACCGGCCCCCTGTATAACCCGCACGTAGATGTGCCCTGGTTCCTCGTCGGATCTTTGTTTCGTAGGTCCTCCTTCCTTGTCCGATCTCTCGCTCCGTCTCTCTCTCGCCCTCTCTCTGTAGTACCTCTCAAACTGGTCAAGCCGGGCAAGCGCGCAGATGCATCACCCGGTTCGTGGCACATGTTCTATGTCACATGCTGTCTGCAGGACCTGACTAGGCATATGCTAGCCGCCTGCAGGTTCAGACATGCAGGTTTGGCAGTGAAAGCTTTCTGAGAGGCCTGGCTGGGGCCGATTGAATTTTAAACTAAGCCTGGCTCACATTGGCTCACTACATCCAACCAAGAACGATTGCCCGTCGACTTCGCCACGGGCCGCGATGTCAGACACTGGCCCAGAATAGTTCATCCATCCTGTGGAACTCGATCCTGACCATGGTGACTGTAGACATCGAGGCGAGATCAGTGATCAATGGTTCCAGATACCGACCTCAAAGGCTCAAAACAGGCAAGGCAATGGCACACTTTGCAGGGCCGTGCCCCGGGGTCCGGGCGCGTGTCCAGGTGGAAGCAGATCCGCTTGGAGGCTCGGGGGCCGGCCGCGGCCTTCCTGCGGAAAGACAGGCGAAAGCCGGCTTGGCTTAGGTCCAAAACTCCAGGGCTCAGCCATAGCCAGGCTCCTGCTTCAGCTGCGCCCAGAGATCGCGTAGTTCGCCATCTCTCTGGGCGAGGATGCCCTCGAGCTCCTGGCAAGAGCGCCCGTGTCCTTCCGTCACCGCAAGATGAACCGGTCGTCCTGAATCCGAGATTCCAGGCCGGTCACGTGCTCCGGCCTGCAGCACACTCCATGGCGACCGCATCGCCGGCAAGAGTGGCAAGCACCGAACATATCCGAACCTGCATCCAGCGGAGGTCTCAACCGAGTCAAGATCCGTGAAGGCCTCAGCCCCAAAATCCGAAGTTGTGAACCACTCGTCACTCATAGCGGAAACGCAATCGACTCAGGCGCGATCTAAGCTCTCCTCGCGGCGGTAAACGTCAAGGGCCGAGACCCACCAGTATGTCTGGTGAAAGGCCCCAGGTTCCTGGGATCTGCCAGTAGAACAGACAGAACTCTCACAACGCAAACGCGCACCCAAACGAGCACACTTCAAGAGCTCCTGCCGGACGAAGGAATCACAATTGCTGTGGCCCGCTTTGGCGCCACAGTGTTCATGAAAGGTGGGAGAGCCCAGATCGCCACAAAAGGTGATGTCAAAGACCAGCTTCATATTCTTGAAATGGCTTTTCGTACATACATCGCTAAGCTCGAAGTAATGATCCGGCTGGCCCCAAAGTTCCGGGTCCGGTGTCGGGCCTTTTGCATCTTCGGGTTCAGAGCCAGCAGGCCAAAACCAGACTCGCATGTGTCCGCCCAAAGGGTCCCATTCGGCCGCGTACGTGCCACCACCGCCCGCATTGAAACTGGTGCCCACGGTGCCCGCCAAGCCGCGTTGTGAACAGCCCTGGTTTTGCCACTGTCCTTGTGCGTGCACATCACAGTTGGACGCCTTTCCTTTCCCATAGATACCAGGATTCCACCAGCCTTTCATGTCCTCTCCCTCTTTGAGATGCGACTGGGTACAGCCAGCCTTCGTGTGTAAAGTTGTAGAAACATTCTCCTCGTCGTGAATCCACTCAATGATGTCAAACCTTGCCCACTGGTATGCTGCAGTGACTGTAACAGACAAGATGAGCGGAACAGGCCTAACAGCTGTCACCACCAAGGAACTCCCCCCATTCTGGCCAAATATGGTCGGGGTCTTCTCCAAACATCCAAAATGCCGGCCAGGAGCCACAGCCTCATGAAGCACACTGGGCAGCGGAAATCGCTACAACCACCCTCAACCTCCACACTCAGCAAAACGACCTAGCTAAAGACATGTGTGGCATTCATAGCCTTACCTGTTGGAGCGTGGTCCAGGGTAATGATGAACAGCCCATCGTTGTACCGCTTGGTGGACTCGAGCCGAATGGATTTGCGCCCTCTGCCCTCGGCAACAGTCCTCGGCTTTGCGCCCGAACGGAAAAGAAGCAAACACTCTGCTGCTCGAATCTGCAATTGCCGCAAAGTCACACGTTGTCAACGCCAATGAAAACGCCGTTCGTATGACTGCGCACCAGTTCCAAACGCTCTGCGTCCTCACGCGTAATATAATCAACAGTGCCGTGAGTGGGATCATCGGCAGGCACGAAATCCCACTGGTCGAAGAAGCCGCTCATGTAATCCTGGTCGCCGTCACTAGTTGCAACAATCGTGTGCACATCTAGTATGTCTCGTTCGCAATGCATTTGTGCAAGATGGGCCTAACTTCCACACAGCCTTCAAAAACATCGTCGAAAGCAAGATCCGCACAAGCCTGTTCGTGGACATAGGTGACCGCGCTGGCCAACGAAAGCCATGCGGGGGCCGCAAGCCAGAGCATTGATGCTGGGAAGGATTCCAACTTTGTCCCTCCCTGTTGAGCCAACAATGGGCTGAGCTCTGAACGATCGTCGTGGAGTGCTCATCATTGCTAGCTGCTAGCTGCTAGCCCTTGCCGCCACTACAGCCCCAGGTCACGTCGGCAAGTTCGCTATAGCATTGCCCCCGCCTCTCTATAGGACCGAAATCTTGAGCGTCTTGTCCGTCCGAACCTGCTGGCACCAATTTTGAGCGTCCGCCCTGGCATGTTGTGGCTCTTACGCCCCACGTGACCGCCTCGCCTCCGACTGTCATCTGGGACGCAGTACGCCGCATGGACATGCCCCGCTGTATCTTCGCCTTTTCTCACAAGACACACTCAAGCCAGCTCGCGTTGGCTCACACGAAATAACCCCCGTCCCACTGGCTGCCAAGTAAAGGAGCGGGATTCATCACCACAGCTTTGCGTTCTGTCCCGAGCTTCTTCAGTTCCTGCCGATGCGCCGTCGCTCAACTTGATTATTTCTGCCTCCGGCTTCGCAAGTCTTCCATGTCCAGCTAACATGGCCCCGACATGTCACTCCTCTAGAGAGCCGAGCAACATCTCAAAAGACCTCGACACAATCTCAGAGCAGGCGCAGGATGAGTCACTGGTCAGGCCACTGTCTTGTTTCTGACCTGTCGAATGACTCGGCCTGCTTATTACGTGGCCTGAGAGGGTAAGCCAGTACGACTCAAGCCAACTCGAGCAACGGCAAGGCCAAGCACATAAGTATGGAGCATGCTTCGGCGAGGATGTGCAAGTTGAAAAAACCCTCCGAAACAAGCCAACCTTCCCTCACCTGTGGATCTTGGACCGCTTGTAGCATCCTTCCCACTCCAACGAAAGGAATCATGCACTCGCAGCAACGGAGAAAGAATTGACTTAGGGAGCGATCAACCACCTGATACAGAACGAACTAACTTACTTTGGAAGAGCGGCACAAGCCCTGTTTTTCTCTCTGCCGTTGTTACGCCATCTCGGGGGCCCCGGAGCTGGACTTGGGTCGTCAGCCTTAACATCCCCAAACAGTATGGTATGGACGTAAAGATAGCAGAGAGACATACTGTAACACAAGGTTTGTTATGGTGTCCTGCCGATGGACCAATTTCTCAAATAGTATAGGGCTTAAAAAAAAATCAAGACTGCATCTGAAGCCAGTAAACTACGTTTCTCTCAGACAGCTGTCGGCCCATTACTGCAGGTTCAAGTCGCTTCAAAACTTGAGCCACTCCCGTTCCAAAATCGGTTCAGCCACTTGGAAGCCAAATTGAAACACTTTCGGCGACGCGCAGCTCAAGGCAGTCACGAGTCCGAAACTAGAGCATCTCACTACTGCATATTCGGGTTCAGGGATCGCATTGAGCTCTAGATTTGTTGAAACCAAGGCAAATTGCATTTTGCAGGCCTTGGAAGCATGTGGGCTCGGTGGGAGGCTTCGGGAGCTCGATTCGGGCTCGGGGACTCAGGCCAGGAATACCAGCAAAGCTGAAACAGCTCTGAAGACGTTTCCCAAGCCTTGAAAAATGTATGTTGGAGCCCTGAAAACCAAACTAAAGCTTGTGCATTACGATTTTCGGGTTTCGGCGCTCGCACTCGAACAATCCAGGCGAGGCATTTGGTTCGAGGTCCGCTGAGAAGCGAAACGAAAACGAGTTCAAGACCACTAAAACAACACGGGCGGCGTTGAGATCCAGATTTGTTGATGAAACGAAGGCCAATTGCATTTAGCAGGCCTTGGAAAATGCATTTGGGCTTGGTCGGGGGGTTCGAGGGCTCAATTAAAGGCCTGTTCGCGTTTTCCAAGCTTCAAAGAATGCATTTTCCAAGGCCTGCTAAAGGCTATGGGCCTTGGTTTCGACAAATCTGGAGTTCAACGCCGTCGTCCTTCCCGACCGACACCACGAAATTCGCACCGAAAATGCTTTAATTTGGTTTCCAGGGCTCCAAAATGCATTTTTCAAGACTTGGAAAACGTCTTCAGAGCTGTTGCAGCTTTGCTGGCGTTCCGGGCCTAAGTCCCCGAGCCCGAATCGAGCTCCCGAAGCCTCCGACCGAGCCCATTTTTCAAGGCTTGCAAAACATGCAAAACGCATTCACGGCTGTTTCAGCTTGTCTTGAACCGAACTGGTCCCGAGCAGTCCTGTATGAGGACCGCATGGTTCAGGGTTCCGTTCTTGGATCCCACGAATCAAGTATCTCTCTTGTAGAACCTTCAAACGGACTCTGTCCGAAAGGTTACAAACCTACAGCCTACGGAACACTAAAGAGCAGGTTGTTGTTTGGGGTCAAGGTAGTTAGTGTGCAGCGAGTAAGCTCGCCCAACACAAACCGCACGAAGAACGCCGAAGCCCAACGCACCAAGGGACCTACCAAGCCACGAAACAGACACCAGCAAAACACTAAGGGAACAACAAGCCAGGACAAACAGACGCCAATGGACCACCAAGCCAGGACCAAACACCAAACAGACACCAACCGAACAGTAACTCCTATAAACCCCATGGTCGGTGTGCTCTGTATGTTGGGGTTTGTTCCACAAATCAGGGGCCAATCGCAGACCAATCTGGGACCAAACACGGACCAATCAGGGACCAATCAGAGACCAATCAGGGACCATCCGAAACCAATTCATGACCAAACAGAAACCCAACACAAACAGCACACCGGCAACTATAAACACTGACACCTATATATGTATATGAAGAAATGTATATGTGTGTATGTATGTGTATATATATATATATATTATATCTCTCTTTCTCTCTCGTCCTTCCTTCCTGCCATTGGGTGCAGGTCTGCACAAACACAACTGCGCCGAGGCATGCCCCCCTGCTACGGGAGCGTTTTGTTGTTGCATAACCCGCCCTGACCCTAACGTTAGCCCGCCTCCCGGCCTCATCCCCACGCCCTCCACAGCTAAGTCCGAAGACCCTGCAACAACCACTCTCCAAAACTGTACTCCATGGCCCCCTTTCCTACACCTTGTACTAGTGTAGTTGTCCTTATGAAGCTGCTTGTTGGGGTGTCCACCATGCAGAAGCAACACCGCTTTGACTAGTGTTTTGGGGTGCCTGCTCTCTCTCTCTCTCTCTACATATATATATATATATACACATATATATATATATATATACATATACCTCATGCCGCACAAGCACTATCAATTCAAGGTCGGGCAAGCTGAGCGTGCTGCAATCTGTCGAGACGCAGGAACTGTGCCGTGTCCGATGTGACCTGGTCAGCATCCGATGCCTCTCTCCGTTCTGCTATTGCCTGGAGTTTACTGCAGCTGGACAGAACCCCATATCGTTAGGATGTGATTCGGGAAGGCGAGAGTGAGCCCAAGCTTGTACAGGATCCAAATGTTCAACCATTGGTCCCAAGGCTTCCTTTGATTCTGAGCGTCTACCGGATTTTCTTGCACTTGGTGAACACTGTTCCATGATTTGCCTTCTGACGCCGGCATTCAGCAAGCATAGGCTAACCCCACACCTCACATGCATGTACCTTACCCCACACCTCATATTAGGACATTGGTTATTTTATGGATATAAGGTTATGGGTTTAGGGGGTTGCTTTGGTTTTGGGTTGTGTTATGGACAACTGCATTTGTGGTTTGATGTTGCTTTGCTTTCGGGATTATTATATTGGGTTTTGGGAGGCGCTTTGTGTTTTAATGTTTTGGGAGGTTGAAATCTTAGGCGGGTTGAGAAGCGGCTTGAAAGCGTAGGGGGGGTATATGCATGTGAGGTGTGGGGTTAGCCTATGCTTGCTTGCTCATTCATGCTTCAATGCTCTCGACAGCTGGCTTCTTGGTGCTTTAAACTTCTGGCAACATGAAAACGTGTTGACCCAGCCTTTCTATGGCTGTAAAATGTGGTATTGAAGTGCACAACGAAAGCGAAGTCCAAGACCAATGCATGTGAAACGGCCAGTGCAAAGCCCCACCTTGATCGTGGCAGCTCGGCCCTCGTTTGTCAGCAAAGCCCGCTCCCCGAAATAGCGGGCTTCTTGCACGGTAGCCTGCGGCAAAGGTGGGCAGGTCCCAGCGCTGTACGCGACTGCCTCCTGGGATCCCTGCGGTAAGCTTTATCTGCTCTACGCCGTCTTTGATGACCGCGACCTGCTTTCGGTGTAGACTCGTCCAAATCAAGGCTGTGCTATGTACATCGCCGTTGTTGTCCATGTTGTTCTGTCCGTGAGTTTCTCTAACCAAGCCGACCTGCGTATGATAACCTCACTTTGCTCAGTTATTCGAGCTTGCACTTCTTCTGCAACATGCGTCTTCACTTCAACCTCTGCCAGAATCTTGCAGCCATCTGCCGCCACCCTCGCCGTGCTGATTTGCAACACAGCATCATATTCCGCATCGCGACCTCTTGTTATGCCGTAAAAAAAGGCAGGTAGATTATAACGTGTACCATGCACGTAGCATGATCGGCATCTTTGCCTCCTCCAATATTTCTAACAAGCGAAGTGCCGGCCGCAGCATGCACTTTGCAAATGCGAAATGTATAAGCACCGCAATTATGCCGGATGCTCTGGAAGTGCAGGTAGCATACACAGATAACAGAAATGCAGACGGCGAGACAGAGAGAGGTGGCGGAGAGATGCATAGCCCACCATCACGACATGTTTCTGAACGTTATGCACGACCCCGTAATTCAGAACATGCTTGACAATTTGGGGAAGGTCTGTTTTTATGAAACCAAGGCTACAACGCAGACTACCATGATGCCACATCCAAATATGACGATACGGTAGTGCAGCTTCATTCCCTCACCACGCGGTCAGTCTAACATTTCTGTGGTTGTTGATAGTTCTTGCCGAAAAATGTGCGATACCTTAATGAGACTCTTTACCTTACGAGCCCTTACACTTCCTGAAAAGCAGGTGCTGTAGACAGCTGGACAGGCAGCCGTACAGACAGCCAGACAGGCAGGCAGATGGACAGAGACGACCAATAACAAATGTGGAAATCGGTGTAAACCTAGCAAGAACAGCTAAAGAACACATCAAAAGGGTCAAGTCATGTCCTTGCCTGCCCTTCGGTCAGAATGTAGAAGGCATCTCCCTTCTCGCCTCCGTCTCCAGGAGTCCACACGAATGCCATAAGCAGGATTTTGCAAAGCCTGACAGTGCTGACAAGACGGCACATGCCAAGACACCTTGTTCGAAGACCATCTCATCTTTGGAGAAGGACATCTCCTTCCGAAATGCACGGCCCGCGCGAAATTTGGAAAGTCTGACGAGTGAGCTGTGCCCCCAACAGTCAAGGACTTCGCCAAAGCCTTTCAATGGCAGCGAGCTGTATCACTGTAACGAGGAATCCAACATAGCCGCATATAGCCGCGCACTGAGACCCAAACTTCTTTCTCTTCAGGTTTCAAAAGACCCTTGAGAAGATCCACCTGGGCTTGTAGCGAATCATGCCACGGATATGAAAACCTTGAGCCGTATTCAGTACCGAATCCAGTCTTGCATGCCAGGCCTTGTCCAACAATGCGACATACTCCTGTCATGGTTAATCCTGCTTGCAGCCACCCCTTCTTCTCAAGCAACAGTTTGAGACCGGTCCGTCCTGACACTTGTCGCCTCGAGCAGCCAGAACAGCCTTGAAATCGGTCCTCGTGTTGTCTTGGTGTCTAAATGCCCAACTCTAGTGCAAGCTTTCTAACTTGACGTCGGCCGACAGACCGACCCGTCAAAGAAAATCAATCGACATGCACTTAGCCTCCAGCAAAACAAGTTCAACTACACACACTCTTCATCGCCCCGTCGACAAAGGAAGATGGTAACCGGCGACGCTTGCCGAGAGCCATCTGTGCATGATAACCGCACGATACCGCACTCGAATGCTATCGACACCCGGGCACTCAGCGCAGAGTGGGCTTCGGGAAAGAATAAACCGTTTTGATACCTGTAGGCTGCCTACACCGATGCTTTTACCGTTCACGAAGATTCGCAGACCGGATACTCTCTTAAAACAAGGATCCAAGTAAAACGAAACTGGCTGTGGTTACCTCTCATAGAGGCTCTTAAAGAATTCTTCCGAATTTGGCCGCGCGGCAGGTGTGAATCGTTCGGAATGCCACGATACCACAAGTACTACTGTACTGTGGCGTGCAGTGCAAGATAAGCCAAGCTGCCTATCAATGACCCAGAGTTCGGAATCGACCACGGCCTCCACATTCACATGGCGTGAGCCAGCACGCAACAACAACCACAGCAACAGCAACAGCAATGCACATTCCACACTGCCTTGACCGTCGCAGCACGTGGCGCAGTGTAAATTAGCGCCAGCCTCAGGGATGCACAAAGCAGAGAACATCGAACCCTAGCGAGGTCGTTGTGGTAAGGACGCAACTCGCCGAAGCTATTCCCCGGCTTGAGCTGACCAACGCCTGCGCAATGCCGAACCTCTGACTGTGGCAAGCATTCTGCAATTGAGCCACCGACGGTGCTCTTTCCTTAGGCGACAGTTGAAACGGAGGAGGCATGCGGGCATATGCTGGCCTCCTGCGCCGGTACTGCATTTCTGCTAGAGGCTGGGCAGCCAGCTGGATGACGTCGAACTTTCCTGACCTGACGTCCAGGATTCCACATGTTGCGACGCGTGCCTAAGGATGTGTCACGGATTGGTCTGGGAGCCGAGGCTTGACCATGTAGAAGAATGAGGCATTCAGATCACCTTCAGTGATCACGTCGGTGCCAGCCTTCACCTCTTCCTGCGAAAGACAGGAAGACACGCGGACAAAACTCCAGAACCGGCCGCCTTCCAAGCTGTGTCGATAAGTCTCTCTGTGCTCGATTCGTCTAGCGACACCTGAGCCCAGACCCCAACACCGGCGAGGCCATGTGCGACAAGCTGAGCACAGAAGTGCGAATGCATCATGGAAAAGCATGCCCTCAGGGCAGCTACAAGACCCTGGAGATTCGTGTTCTCCTTCAAGGCCTGGCCATAAGGGAGAAGTAAACTCGAACAAGCCCTTCAAAAATGCATGTCTTTGCTGCCTTTGCCATGATCCGACGTTCTTCTTGGGTCTTCGGGCTTGGTGGCTTCGCCTTGCGCGAAGCGCAACACAACTCTACACACTGGACGAAAAAAACGTTCCACAATGCACTGCCGAGTGATGATATCTTGATGCACAAGGTTGCATCTTCAGCTGGGGGCCTCTGACTCGAGAAATCCACCGCCGACGGCCTGCAGATAGAAAGTAGCACGATTGCAGGTGAACAAGTTGCACAAACGCGGATGTACACTGCATGCTTCATTCAACGACACACTAAGCTTTGCACATTTCTCTGTTTGAACACCAACTTCTCACGCAAGCCCAACTCTTCGAACTTGCTGCGCCGGACGATGATGGTTGACAGCGGCTGCTTCCTTTGACAGGCACATGGACACAGTGTCAGAACGTCCATTTCGCCTTCGTGCCTGTGACCACGAAATATGACGGAATCGACAACACCCGCAAATACTCGCACACGGCGACGAGACAGAGACAGAGACAGAGACAGAGACAGAGAGGCAGTCGCGGAGAAAGACACAGAGACAGAGAGAGAGAGAGAGACACAGAGAGACACCGAGAGAAACAGAGAGAAAGAGACCGACAGACAGACTGACTGACAGACAGACAGACAGAGTTGACGGGGCTGAAAGGCTTTGTTGCTTAGTTTTTGGGGGTTGTGCTTCACCCTATTGCATCCGAGCTTCGCTACTATGGTGGCATTCCGCGGCTCAGCCCTAAGCAAGGCATTCTCACCGAAGTAGTCGCCATCCTTTCACAGCGAATCTCCATAGCCGCTGTGATCGCTGTGCTGCTTTAGGCGGGGCGGCGGGGCCCCGGCCTTGAGCTGTGCCACTTCGTGGCCGTTCACCTGCACGGAGCAGATGCCGGACCTGCGAGAGGTGTTCGAGATGCGCTGTGCTCTTCCTCACCCATCACCCCATCCCATCTTGCCTGATGACGAAGAGCTCATGGCCCTCGTCACCTTGTTCGATAACCACATCACCTCAGTGCTCAGCTTCTGCCAGGAGCGGTCTCAACAGAGCATATCGCAGCGATCGACATGGCAGCCAAGCTTCCGGGTAGGAAGGTTTTGCTTGTACATGTTGGTGCTAAGGTGGGCAGCAAATCTTCTTGTAACCTTTTGAATAGCGGAACCTGCCACGTGGATCGCCAGCTCCCAACTCAGTCCAGCTCCTATTTGCTCTACCAAACCTCACTGCAAACTTCCGACTCCCATGACGCCCATCTTTCCACCCTGCCTTGTGGAGAAACTCTAGAATTTCAGAGCTTACGAGAGTGGGTGTGGAAGCGATGGAGACCAAGTCGTCCTGGGCGGTGGCACAGACCAACGGGCTCACACCGTTCCTTTCAAGTTCCACCGAGACTCGTCATCCACATCAGCTTCAACTCTATCTTCTTTCTTGCAGACGCACGCATGGGCGACTCCCATGATGCAAAGTCACTGAATCTAAGCCTGGGCTGATTCCTCATGTCGCCTTCTCTTGTGATGCTGAAGTTGGTTGGGCTTCTCACCGGGACGAACAAGGCTTGGAGGAATGTGACTCATACTCCGATAGCTTATCAAAGGTCAGGTGCATCTCACCTGCTGGCGGATGTGCAAAGCAAAGATGTCTCAGCAAGAAGCTGAATCATTGCTGTTCGTTTCTCACAGTCGCAGAGCCGCCTTTTACTCTGCAACTTCTAATCGTGTCAGCACCGGTGAGACTCCCCAAGCCAAGCTGATTTCACAGGTTGTCAGCATTGGGCTCATCTACTGCGACTTGGCCTGCACATTCCATGTCATGCGAACCACATAACGAACAAACAACGACTTTAAGCAACCGCTACTGCCACACCTCCTTGTTCCTGGCGTTTCTTTGGTCCGAAAAACCTTTAGCCGCAAGGTCTTCCAGTCCTTCCTGCACAGAAAAACACGATGCCCATGTCCGGTTCAGAAACGCCCTCAAAAAAAGCAGCAACCCATGGCGGTGTGCCTGTATGGATGCTTTGACAAGCGCCGCGAGTCGTATTGCCTGGCACAGCTGGTCCAACAACCGAGTGGAGCAAATTTTCCACGCGAGGAATCACAAAGGCAGATCAATTCTCAGAGTCGGCAGGGCACCCAAGCATTCCCCCCACGTTTGCACTCTGCGTCCCTGGAGCTGCAAGCCCACCGGCTTCACGTGCTTTTTGCCATGGTTGCTACGAAAGTCTGACATCTGGGCCTTGGAAAACAGATGTTGATGTGGCATCTACTGCGCCTGCCACACGAAACAGGCTTCTTCTTGCAAAAGTTGACAGCAATTTTTTGGTGCTTACAGTTTGGAATTGCTTCAAAATGGGGTTTTAAAAAAAAACATTTGATGATGTGATTTGGCAGCTTGGCATGTCACACGACGGGTTGCTTCAGTAGATTCTCAATCCTATGTTAGGCCCTGTTTCGTGTCCCTGGTGTGGTGCTTTCAGTCTGTTCGTGTTCGCCAGTGTTACGTTCAATCTATTACTTCCTGCCTAAGAGCCTCATCAGAATGTACGGATCTTGAAACAAACGTCATACCACCCCCCCCCCATTCCCCAGAACAAGCCAGAACTAGGCGCAATTACCCCCCGTCGTGCAAAGTCTGCCTCGCTCGCTAGCTTTTGCAGGAATTGAGCTACAAGCAAACTAAAAGGATTGCTCCGTGCCTTCGTTCTGGTATCACAATCCGGGAGCGACTCTGCAGCAAGCAGCGCGTGGCTGCTGCCCAACTTCCACATCTCAGGAAATGCGAAGTTGCGGCTTCAGAGCAGCTTGCCCTTCCGAGCATCCGGCTCTGATACCGATGCGGGCGGGAATGCCACCCACGAGCGACTCCACTGGCCAGCAAACCTCTTAGGAACGAATGGCGCGCTTGGCAATATTCAATCATCGAGCGGCAATCGACTGCATCTGAAGCACATTGGTTCCCAGCATGGCCAAGCACCAGATGTCCACCTCACAGGTACTCGTTGACTGCAACGCCACACGAATCCACGAAGCCTTGAAACTAATCATATGTGCTCAAACCAAGCTCCTCGCATCTGTTTGCACAGCAACAGAAAAAGCACCGGCACGGAACTCCTCCAGGTCAAGCAAACATAAGCACGCACATACATACACCAGGTAGGTAGGTAGGTAGGTAGGTAGGTAGGTAGGTAGGTAGGTAGGTAGGTAGGTAGGTAGGTAGGTAGGTAGGTAGGTAGTAGGTAGTAGGTAGGTAGGTAGGTAGGTAGGTAGGTCGGTCGGTCGGTCGGTAGGTAGGTAGGTAGGTAGGTAGGTAGGTAGGCAGGGAGGTAGGGAGGTAGGTAGGTCGCTCGCTCGCTCGCTCGCTCGCTCGCTCGCTCGCTCGCTCGCTCGCTAGCTAGCTAGGTAGGTAGGTAGGTAGGTAGGTAGGTAGGTAGGTAAGTAGCTAAATAGCTAGGTGGGTAGGTGGGTAGGGTGGGTTGGGTGGG